TGTCATCTGGTCTAATTTCTGTTTAGATTTTAAGCATAAATTTGGGAACAAGTCTGATGGGAATCTGCAAGACTGATTGATATGCATTTAATACAATTTAAACACTAAGAAAATAGGTTAAAAAGATTCACCAAGGAACACTAAGCTGCTGTTATGTGCCACACTGTTTGTTGCACACACAAAAAAAAGCTCAGTAAAGTTGGAGGGCCGGGGGGGTGGGGGGGGGGGGGACACTATATTAAACAGATCCACTTCCATATATTTCTTCTTTGTAAATTTTCATTTTAAGATTCAAGTCACATTTTATATAACGTTTTACAGATTTTGCTGAAGTTGTTTTATTACTTTTTAATATAGCTGCTGACATATACTTAAGAACTGAGGGTGTTACTTTAAAAAAAAATAGCATGTTTTCATAAACGCATCATTAAAATGAGTATTACTTTAAAAATCACAACTACAGTTCTATGCAACAAGGGTAAACCTCTGAATAATGTATAAGCAAGAGTACACCGAGCCATTGGGTCTTAAAAAAAGTGAAAATGTGTCATGATTTTCTATTAAACACCACTCTCTGTACCCAGTTTTGGAGCAGAGTATTTCATAATTTACATAATGCATATTACATCAGTACAAAGTAGAACAGGATTTATATATGTTTTATAAGCAACGCTATCTTTGTTTTGTTCTCCTCTCCACAGTGTTGGATAAGTAACTGAAGGTGTCTGCTACTGCTGGGATGCACACTGTGCCGGTTTCAGAGCATGGCAGCCTGGTGACAAGCCACGGGCCGGTGTGTGTCAGTGCGTGTGCGTTCTCCCTTTTCTTCTTTTTTTTGTGTTTGCAGGTGTGAAGGAACACCTCAAAGGTCATCTGAGGAGGCACTGGAGCGTGCTGAGAGCCTGCCATCATACAGCTGCCACGCCAACTGGACACAAATACACGCACACACACAAACCCACACAGACTTACAAACAGGCAAGTGGGCCATATTCATATATGAGCAACACCAAACGCACACGGAGGCAGGGAAGTATCCACAGCAGAGAGCAAACACCCGTCACAAGCAGGTCACTCACTCAGACCCACAGCTACAACCGTGCCTCGCTGCTCATTCACACTTGCAAGTAGTACACATGCAACCACTTCACACTTGTACACCAATGTGCATGTATGAACACAGACACACACACAAATAAACGTTGTCCGTGTTTGTATAAAACCCTGGATTGAGAGAGTAAAGTTGGCTACAAAGATGTAATCGGTTAATCTTACAAACAAACAAATGGTGTGAAACCACAAACCCCATAAATACACTGCCTGGCCAAAAAAATGTTGCCACCAAAAAAAAGGTCACACACTAATATTTTGTTGGGACCGCCTTTAGCTTTGATTACAGCATGAATTCACTGTGGCATTGTTTCGATAAGCTTCTGCAATGTCACAAGATCTATTTCCATCCAGTGTTGCATCCATTTTTCACCAAGATCTTGCATTGATGACTAGACACTAGGCATGATGGGTGCATCACTTCACCTGCCTCTCTTCTTACCCTGATGCACCCATCACTCTGGAACAGGGTAAATCTGGACTCATCAGACCACATGACCTTCTTCCATTGCTCCAGAGTCCAATCTTTATGCTCCCTAGCAAATTGAAGCCTTTTTTTTCTTAGTGAGCCTCACTGATTAGTGGTTTTCTTAAAAGTTACACAGCTGTTCAGTCCCAATTCCTTGAGTTCCCTTCACATTGCGCGTGTGGAAATGCTCTTAATTTCACTATTAAACATAGCCCTGAGTGTTATTGTTGTTTTTCTTCTATTTGATTTCACCAAATGTTAAATGATCGCCGATCACGATCATTCAGGATTTTTTTTCTGGCCACATTTCTTCCTCCAAGACAATGCGTCCCCACTATCCTTCTAGTTTTTAATAATGTGTTGGTCAGTTCTTAACCCAGTTTTAGTAGTTTCTGCAATCTCCTTAGATGTTTTCTCTGCTTGATGCATGCCAATGATTTAACCTTTCTCAAGACTGACATCTTTTCCACGACCACGCGATGCGTCTTTCAACACGTTTGTTTAAGAAATGAGAAGCAACTCATTGCACCAGTTGGGGTTAAATAACTTGTTGCCAGCTGAAAGATAAACGCCCATGCAATAATTATCCAATAGGAGGCTCGTACCTATTTGCATAGTTAAATCCAGGAGGCAACTTTTTTTTTTGGCCAGGCAGTGTATTTAATTTAAAACCAAAGCATTACCCATATATTCTTTTTGTGTTGTTTTTCAGATGCACCTTTACCATCCCAAACTATGCTGCCATGTTGTTTTTTAAAGGTTTTCTCGTGGAAATCATTTGTTAAATGAAGCCTGTAGAGTCTGAGAGGGAGTTCTTGAGTTTTATATCATATCCATCAGCATTGCACAGTCTGACCTTCGGGTAAACTTGTAAGCTGTCCGCCCATGGAAGGACTGGCAGCTTTTTTAAATGCTTTCCATTTGTGAATAATCTACTCTTCATAGAACAATAGCTTCCTAATAGTTAGCAAATTTCTGCACAGCAGGAGGAGTTTCCAAATAGGTTCCAAATCCTTCTTAGATTTATGGGCAGCAACAGATGTTTCTCTAAAATGGTTGATGTCCTTCCTTCTTGGCCTTTGGCTTTTGCTCCAGATCAAAAAACTGACACCATTTTTGTTTTTAAGGACGTATTCATACTTGCAGGTGATCAGTTAATCTATCATTTCAAATAGCACATCCTGGTTGAAAGCTGCCTTTTTATATTTTATGGCGGTAATGGGGGGGGGGGGGGGTCACTTTTTACAACTGTGAAGAGTAACCAGTCTTATTCAGTGCATTCTCTTAAAACAAATAAAAAGACCAAGTTACTCCCTCTGTTGGCTGCAGGCCTACCCTCAGAAAATAATGGTGTTATTCAGAACTCTATGATCCCAAATATGAGGCTATGGTCTGTGCTAATAAGCCCTATACTACCAACCCCTCCTTCTCTTTGTGCCGATGGCTAAATCTGCACCGTTGCATCGTTCAAAGCAACACAGCAGGAGGAGAGCGGCCAAAACGGGGTGTGCAGGAACTCTTTTATTTGTTATGGGGCTGACGGGGAGTGAATCAATGATTCAACTATCTTATCTGGCCCTGCGATACGCATCTTGTAAATACATTCTCACTTTCTCGTCTCTCTTTCCCCCCTCACGTAACACCCCTCTCAATCTCTTCAGCACTTTGCTGTTATCACAACGATCAATAGCGAGGTGATTATTATTCCTCTAGCGCAGCCCACACGTACACACATGCTGACCTCCCTCATCAAGTACCCCAGAAACACAGGAAATGAACAAGACACACATACAACGCACACATACACACCTAGGGGTTGTGAGATGGGCTGCAGATAACCTGCAGTTACAAGGTTAATGTGCAGTAGTACACATGCTCCATGTCAAGTAGGAACATTAGTGTGCCACTGCTCACACTTCATCATGAGCCGAGTAGAAAAACGAACTTCCTTTACCTCATGAAAGACCAACAGGCTGAAAGATAAATGTCACAAACAAGATGTTCACAGACGGTAAGCTCACAGATGCCCCTGCTTTTCTGGCGTTTTTACAGAAGGAAAAAACAAAGAATAAAAGGAAAGGTGAAAGCCTGAACCCAAACTGAAACCAGATATAGTTTCAAACAGAACCTGGAAATATACTTTTTAAAAATTGACAGATCTGTCACGAAGTCCTGACACTACCATACGAACAAATCTCAGATTAAAGAAAAAAGCTTCCTTTGATTCTGTCAGGTCCTTTCAATACAATTTATAAGAATTCACTTCACCTGAGTACAAAACTGTAGATACAGATTTGCTTTTTCTTTATTTTATTACGAGTACACAATATAATTCTATTGATAAATAAATCCACCTGGCAAATTAAATTACTGCATCATAAAATGTTCAATTAAAACAAATAACAGGAAAACTATAAAACCTGTAAATGCAATATTCAAACACTACTGAAGTGAAAAGCCAAAGAGTATTTGATTTCAAGGCTATTCCTATAGTTGCCATGGTAACTTGGTTCATATAGAGGGAGGGGCTTAGAAAGAAGAGCTGAAGCACAACAGAGAGGGAAGGGGAGTGGCCTTTAAAGTATATGTGTGAAATAAAACAAAAATGACATATTTTCAATACTAAACTCCAGGTTTAAAATAAATAAATTCCTTTCGTCTTTGATTTGTTGAGTAAATCTGCTAGATTGCACAGCAAAGCTTTTGCAGTGGCAGAATAAAAGCATATGCAATGCTAAATTATTAGAGTAAAAGTTGTTATTCAACAAGCTCAGCATGATGAGTTCAATTAAACACATATTTCTATGTACATCATTGAAATGTCTTGTAAAGACATGCAAACACCCACTGAAACTGCTAAGCTCTGCGAGTTCAACTTAAAAAACTCTTAAATGATTTCCTTCCTGTCAGATTTAGAAAACACCACCTTGTTAAAACATCCAACAAGCAGTAAGCCAAGCAGATGTGGAAATCTGCTATACAACAAAAAACATGTTTTAAAAGTGAGTGGCAATGTGTCAAAAAAAAAAAGAAGATTCTTAATTTATCAATGAACATTGCATTTACACTTTGGACATGGGCTTAATGGCAACAGTTTTAGTGAACAGATGAAATAAAGTTAAAAAAGGAATATACAGTAGTAGGTAATATAGAGAGGATGAGAGGTATTTGTAATAATAAAAGGACATTCTTCTTTTTCTCCAAGTATTAGGTATTTCTTAGGTATTAAGTATTATAGTATTACAGGTTTCTCTTGTAAATGAGTCCTCGTGACTCAGTGAGACTAACCTGTATAAATAGAGGTTGAATGAATTGTAAGTAAGAAAGAACGCAAGTATAAGTAAGTAAATAAATCAACCACATGTCCTAAAATTCATTGAAATATTGAATTTTCAGAGCAGCCTTTGGTAACAGAGCTCACTTCATAGTGCGAAGGTCCCATCCTCGTATGGCCGTATCATTCGCTGTGGCCAGCTGGCTGCAGTTGTGGTGGGGACTCCACTTACCAGAGGTAAATTTCAATTGACCTTTACCCTCCAGGGTGGCCGTGCTGGATACCTGCAGAGAACCACAAGATCTTTGTGAACATATCTGAACATACATGTGTGTTTGATTTAAACAAATGAGGGAAGATACTGCAAGAAAGGTTAATCCAATAAATGTAATACTTATCAGCAAAAGAAGTTTGCTTGTGCAAAGACTTTAAAAGGATAATGTATTAGGACTGCAAGATGTTACAAAAACTTGCTATTTGTGGGATTTTGTTAAATATTGTGATGACAATATCAATTTTAATGTGTAATGTGCAATGTAACTCGCATTTGTACAAATTTTTACCCAAGTAAATTGATCCCATGGTATAGTGCATTTGATGTATTTTTACATTTTTACACTGCCATAATTTGAGAAACTACAAGTGATTTTATATGCCCCATCATTTGCTTTTGAAAGGATTAGCTGACAAATTGAGCGAAGTGGGTAAAATTTAAAGCTTATTATTGTCAGAAGTTTAATCAAATCCATTTCAGTTGGTTAATACTAGTTTAAATTTATTATGCTGCATTTTACCTATCTAAAAACATATGTTGAAAAAGGTAAATGTCATTGGATGAAAAAGTAAGAGACATTCAGCTACAAAAGAGGAGGTTAAACTGCAACATTTAAAGCTTTTTTTAACCAGATGACATTCTAGTCAATTATTTATCTGATCTGCAACACTTTTCTAAAACAAAAAATATTAATAACAATAAGGGTGAAATTTAGCAAAGTAAATATGCTCCAAGGACCGTTATATAAAGTCAATCACTTCATTGGGCTACTTAAAAAAAAAAGAACCCAATTAATGGAGTGGGCTGACTTTTGACATTTCGAAAAGCAACATCCCACTTCTCCTTTTTTTTGTTTGCTCCCTGACTATCTGCAGGTTTTTATTCTCATATTTTTCCTTCTCCCATTTCTCCTCTCATTCCTCTCTCTCTCGTCTCTGCCTGCAAGGATCATCGATCGATCCGTCACCACCACACAGTTCCCTGGTACATTCTCATTATTTCATCTATGAAGGACAGAGGAGGGGAGGGGGGCAGAAGGCTACAGAGTAGGAGGGAGGCAGCGAGGAGGAAAAAGGAGAGAGGATTAAAGAAGGAAATACAGAGCAGAGAGAGGAGCAGGAAAATGGAATTATATAAGGATGATATTTGGTGACAGCACCGTGGCACAGTTGGTAGAGCTGATGCCTCTTAGCAAGAAGGTTGCTGGATCAAATCCCAGCCAGGGTCCTTTCTGGGTGGAGTTTGCATGTTCTCTCTGTGCATGTGTGGGTTTTCTCCACGTACTCTCCGGTTTCCTCCCACAGACAGCATGCACGTTAGACTGATTGGTAACTCTAAATTATACCTAGGTGTGGGTGAGAGAGTGAATGGTTGTTTGTCTCTACGTGTCCCTGTGATGGACTGGAGACCTGTCCATGGTGTTCCCCACCTCTCACACAATGGCTGCTGGATTATAGGCACCAGTGACTCCTGCGAGCCGAAAAGGAAGAAGCGGGTAAAGATAATTGTTGGGTGGATGGATGATATTTGGCGTTGTGTGCAAAATTATAGAATATAAATTGATGTATAACACCAAAATGTTTAGACTTTTGTAGCCACGTCATATGTTTTTAACAATTTATGTTAATCTAAAACCTACAGTGGAATTCTGTCATATACAACATATGGTAAATAAGACTTATTATAAGACAATTCAAATTGTTTCTAAACAAGAGGTAAGGCACAGTTCTTCAACTATTCGTTTTTAACAGCCTGATGGAATTTGTTAACAAAGATATCCATTTCCTGTTGTTCAAGAATGAACCCATACCTAGAAATGTTGATTTGTTTAGCTTCTTTTGAACAGATATTTATAAAAAAGTTCAGAGAAATGCAAAGGTTTTTTTTGTCTGTTTTCAGGAACACCATAATTGAATATTTTGTAAATAAATCAGGCAGAATATATGTAATTATCTTTAAACTTGGCAAGTCGTGACTAATCCGTGGTTGGAAAACACCTTCAATGTGTGTCTTTATCTTGTACCTTGGATTTTCTTGCATGTGCTATCAGTATCAAGATCTAGGGATTTACTGGTTGAGTCCGTCATCTTATTTTAGTATTTTAAAACCGTCAGTTGATTACACATAAAATCATTACCAGACTCTAGATTTGATAAAGCACTACAAATAGCCACAGTGTTGTCAATAAATATTTTTTATCTGCTTTTACCCGATGGTGTGGATATACATTGCTTTCACCACTAGAGTCGAGCAGGCCATCCAGATAACATACCAGATGGTACACTCTTTAAATCATGTCCTACTTCACTTGCCTGGTACACAGTGATAGCAAGGCAGTGCAGTAAAAATGTGTATGCATTCATATGGGTTACTCTCACTTTAAGGCAAGTATTTTCCATGTGAGCATTGAAACCATATTAGACCAATGCACAATTTGGATACAGATTTTAGGTAACTTTTATTCAATTCAGGGAACTGCATTAAGATGTAATTATAAAAACCTAGACAGGCTATACAACCACTTCATTCTAATAACTATATGTCTCATCAATCTCATATTCACAAGACAAATTGGCTTTAAGGTTGTTTGGAGCAGACAACTTATTGCAGAAACACCATCTATACTAGATAGTAGATAGTTTAAATAGGTATGAAACAACATGTGCAATGCAATCACTATAATTTTTCCCACAAAATGATTCAAATTTGTAGACAGTCTGTACGCTATAAAGCACTAACACTTTCTTGACTCTGCTAACAGAAGCTTTGTTAACTTCACAATCGACTTCTGCAAGATCTTGCTGCACTAATGGTGAAACAGGAAAGCTCAAGCTTCGTGCATCCCCGACTCCCAGCTTTATTAGTGCTCTAACCAAATTAGGGCCTTTAACAAGGTGGTACACACAACACTAGGGGACGCGTTCATTTAGGAGGAAAGCAGCTCTAATGCAGAGCTTTCTGTCAAATCACCATGCTTCCATGCTTGCTCTACACTCTGGTGTGTTAGTGTGTGCTTTAGTCTGTGTGTGAAAACAGATGTGCAGGACAAGGTGTGTAGATGTTCTCACTCCATTCCACCTGCAGGTCTAATTGATGAGTCCCGCACACACACATGAAAACACAAATCTGTCTTTTAAACAATGCACACTGGTACACTTATGCCCACAATCCATTATTTCATATGCACTCACACACACTGCAAACTTGCACACTCACTAATCCAGGTCAGGCCTCTGAGAGAGACACATTTATGCTTCAGCTGGACTTGAGATGAACACATCACCCTCTGCCAGACTGAGGGAACGGGAGAGGAGTGTGGGATGAAAAAGGAACGAGGAAGGGAGGGAGGTAAGAAGATTAGCATTCTCATCAGCACTGGAGGAATTCATCTTGACTGCCAAGCTCTTCCTCCTCCTTTAGGTTCCTCTTCTCATCAAACCTACTCCCTTCCCCTATCCTGGCTCACTCATCCTTTCTCCTAATCTCCATCTTTGCAATCAGCACAACCCTGTTTCTCTTCCACTTTCATCCTCCCTCCTTCTCATCATATTCCTTCCCTGTACGTTACTGTCCATCGATGCCCGTCTCCCTCGATGCAGAAATAATGACTGCATTGTCCAGTGTCTGTTTCACAGAATTAGATTAACATCCCACACATCTCTGTGGTCTACTGGTTCTCTCACTGGGCTCAGATGAACTTGAGCTGGTGCACATTTAGAACCATTTTAAGATCGCTTAGACTCAATGTGATGGGTAGAACTACAGATATATCTTGCTTTGTTACATCATTTTAAAGAACGTAGCTTGATAGTAGAGGTACGGAATGAATGACTATCTGTGCAGCCAAAGTCTAAACTAAAAGTATGGGCAACTCTCTAAAGAATTAACATTTTTTTCATGTATTTGTTTATGTGTTGAATGATACCACAGACCTTAGCCAGTGATGCATTTCCTTATGGGAATACAGAGGACATTTGTCTCCAGCTTGTTAGGTTTATATAAAAAAAACTGATTTGATTTTGTGAGTGAGTGAGTGAGTGAGTGAGTGAGTGAGTGAGTGAGTGACGGATGGACAGACAGACAGACAGACAGACAGACAGACAGACAGACAGACAGACAGACAGACAGACAGACAGACAGACAGACAGACAGACAGATAGACAGATAGACAGATAGATAGATAGATAGATAGATAGATAGATAGATAGATAGATAGATAGATAGATAGATAGATAGATAGATAGATAGATAGATAGATAGATAGATAGATAGATAGATAGATAGATAGAGAGATAGATAGATAGATGGATATAATAATGTAGATATTATACATTTCTCAGCTTAAGGATAGATGGACAATTGGATGAATGGATAGTTGGATGGATGTATAAATACAATAATGTAGATAGCAAATATTTCTCAGCTTAAGGTTAATGCTCAACACTGTTTTTATTAGTTACACATTTATTTATGTGTACATTTCTTTGAGAATATTTCATTTTTTATTTTTATTTTTTTATCTAAATGCTAAACTTTAAGATACCTACCCTTATCCTTTGTTGGCTACAATTTAGTTTTCTCTGAACTTCTTTGGCAAAGAGTACAATCTGTCACAGTTGTTCAGCTCTTCTTCTTACTACTTCAGGACCATGTTTTGAAGCACATATCTTCTTTCCAACTCTGCTGTGAGCATTACACCCATGTCACACATGTAGCTCCAATTATGACAAATTCTGACATACTCCTCATCTACTGTGACTGTTAATGCCATGTCTGTAAGTGACATACCGGTAGGTATACAAACTGTTGGTCACCTGTCACGCAGCTGTAACCCTTGGAGAATTTTGTGATAAAACACCTGTAGAAAACCTCAGTACATACTGAAAAAAAGAGAGGCAGAAAGTAAGGTGGTAATAGATCTGCATTGCTCTAAACCGCACCATGTCAAGGGCCACTCATTGAAATGAACACAAATGGACTTTTATACTCAAAGCCGCACACATATACTTGCAACCGTGTGTGACCTTACTGCTTTTTATATGAATCTCCATAAACTACTAATGACTTGTTCTTTACACACGTCATCACATCTGACTTCTGAAAGCCTCAGCTGACACAACACAACTGTGTTACTTCTTCCTCTAATGGATTCACACATGACACACACCATTATTTTGAGGCTTTGGATACACATAATGGTCCTTCTAAGTGCAAAGCTGGCAAGTTGGAGACAGTGAATTTACAGTGAAGAGCCTCTTCACCTTGCATTACGAAGGACACAACCACAAGCAAATTGACCACAAGTATTTACACTCAATTTAGTTACATGATTTTTCTTGTGTATTAAAACTCATTAACGTGTGTTTCTGCAAGTTAGAGGCTATTTTGACAGTCAACTTTGGTCAGCATTATGCATTTGTCACATTCCTATTTCCAGCTAAAGTTTGTATTCATAACTATCTATTGCCTTCAATTTAGCTGTTATCATCGTTTTATTAGAGCCCAAAGTGTTCAAACAAGGGTGGAAAAAGACGAGCTAGGTTGTGACCAAGTATTTTACACAATTACTAAAGCCTGAAGAATTTAGCATGAAAATGTTAATTGGACTCTTTCACAACATTTATATGTTAAACCACAAATAAAATAATAGCAACACTCTAAAACATGGAAAACAGTTCAAGTGTGCTTCCCGTATTTGATGCTCTTAGTGTTTTGGTGTAGTTATCAATGAAGTCCCAACACTATGAAATTATTTTACTTCTCACACTACATTTGACTTCGTTTGCCTTATATATCTTGTGCCCTATAATTCAACAGAAATGGGGAAGAACTGGGGTTGAAAAATATAATTTTGCTCCTTAAAATAAAATCTGCACATTAAATAGAAGTTAGAACCTTTGTTGTCAAAGGGCTAGGGTACAAGTATGGATTATCATTATTATAGCAATAATGATTTTCATAAATAGAAAAAAAAAACATTGATTTTTGTACAGTTTTAGTTGGACACTGTTAGGTGGGAAACATCCCTCACTCTGGGACCATCAGACATATCACCCTCTACCATCTCAACTGCTTGATGGAATTAGTTTAACACCAGCAGGTGTTGCATGTAAAAAAGCACATTAAGGTTACAGATGATCTCATAACACTTATTTATTGATTCTAAATGCTTTTAATGAAACAGTAAAAACTTTTTTTTTAATAAAAGCTAACCTGAATAACATAAAATAAGCCCCTATTTAGATCCATCCCAATAGTTTGTGTGAGTGTGTGTATAGAACAAAATATCGATCAGTGCTGTTGTCTCCAACAGAGGCTGAGTGCATCTGGTAACACCAAGACAAAACAGTAGCTTTGAACTAGTTATAATGCTATAGGAGGTCTGTCTGTATGGTGAGCATGGTTTGCAGTTTGTGTGAGTCTTACCGTGGCTTTTGTGGAGCTCTCTTGCAGGTCCCAAAGCAGGGCATGATTATCAGCCAATGAAATCACACGCTTGCCATCCCCCATGGGCTCCCACAGCACACTGCAAATGCACAGACGCACACGTCCCATGTTAGGTATGAAAATGTTTTAAGCAACATATACAACACTTACAGCAAAGTATTTTTTATAAATTTACTAAATGCCTATTTATCAACCAACCACTTGAAAATAAGGAGCAACGGCCTTGTTTTTTGTTGCTTTTTTTTCATAATTTTTGTAGTTTTATTATCAGTTTTAAGTACTTTCACAGATAATCACTATATGGAATTTAGTGAATTGTTCAAGATATGTGGATTACCATAGATGATTCTAGGTAAATTACCCCCTGGGCTCCCATTTGGAGTGCAACTGCTAAATCCTCTGGCATCAGCAGCTCAAGAAAATAACACACCATAACATTGAATGTCAAAAGTCATAATGACTAATGCCTTTATAGAAGGAATTACTAACATCAGCACTGGAAACATGTTTAAGTTTCCTGTAAAGTCTGATTAGAATATTGTGTATAAATTCATGTTCATTTTAGGGTTTTTAGAGCTTAAAACAACACTTTAGAATCAGAAGGTCTTTATTGTCAATACAAAATAATTGCACTGCTATTGTTAAAATTAAAAGGAAAGAAAACTGTAAATATAATAATACAATGAAAAAGGTTAAATCGTGTCATCTGGGCCAGTTTTTTTTAAGTGAGAAACGTTTCGTCCCCTATCCAGAGTACTTCCTCAACAGCAGTGAAGGCTACCTCTGGGTCAGATTTAGTTGGCAGGCTTTAGACTGAGAAAGTCCTCTGGATGGGGGAAGAAATGTTTCTCACTTAAAGAAATTGGTCCAGATGACACAATTTAACCTTTTTTATTATTATCTACCAGGATTATTGAGCTTAACCCATAATAACAATACAGCAAAAATAAAATATCACTACGTAGCACTAATCTATACAATTAATAAAAACAGAATTGTAAATGAGTTGGGAATATGTTGTAAAGTTGCCTATCACCTGTTTAAAAGTTAAAGAATTTGGCACAAAGTAATTTTAGTTTCATTTTTGTTTTTAAATAAATTAATGTTTTCAACAATGAACAGCTTAATGGAAATATATATAATTTTTGATATGAAAAACTTTGGAAATTAGTTTTGGTAACTTGTTTGGGTTGTTGTTCAAGTTAACACATTAAATGATGTATTACTTGGTAGCCCAAAAGTCAGGACAGTTTGAGATGAAATAATATATCTAAGTAGAATGAAACTGGCAAGACAAAACATTTATTATTAAGGGTATAACCAATGATAAATAAATGAAACAAAACTAAAAACACATTTAAGTATCATCTTTTTTTTAAATTGCCATCTTCCTCAACTCTTTTCTGGTTGATGGTACAATGTTACTATGTGATCTAAAACAAAATTTGAAAGTCATAGTTTTGTGTGATTTCAAATATATATATATATTTTGTTTTATCTTGGGCTTATTTTTTCCTTACCCAAGACTCATCATCCTGAGGAGGTTTGTGTTAATGGTGGTGTGTGCGTGTGCATGTGTGCAGTTAGGCATGTCACTTGATACCTGCAATCTCCACTAATTACGCTGTAGAATAAAATATTAATTGCCAATAAAAGTGACAATAACATATAACTAAGCTATGCATGGTTGGCACAAAGTACTTATTGGCAAATCCTGCAGCCCAATTCTGTCAATCTAGCCTCACAAGAGTGGAACACATGGTTGCCTCACTGCTGCTAAAAAATAGCTTTTACTGCATACTTTACTTTGATCGCTCCCTGCATACAACCGTCTGCAGAGTATTGATTCTTTATTGCATGCCTCTTGGAGCTGTGAGTCTTCACTGCGCTCTACTTAAAGTATGTATTATGTGCACAGGGCTGCTCTTAGTGTTTTTCATTGCTCCCTTGGTGTTGACTAGATCACTTGCATACATTTGTGTATTGCTCTTAGTATGGGTGGATTCAGACAAAAACTGTACCAGTAATCAGAACGGAGCATACTATGAAACAAAAAAGCTGTTTTTTTACGTTTGAACTCTGCTGCATGTCATCGAAGTTAAAGATCTTGAAATGAGCTAAATATAACTTTGGCCTCAAAATTTGCTTGTGAAAGTTTTGTATTAAAATTACTTTTTAGCTAAAAAAAAAAAAAAAAAAAGCACTTAATGTGGGTTAAAAGAGCTGGAGATGTAGTGTAGCTTCAGGTTTGGATGTCTGTTATTAAACTGCTGTCATTAGAGGTTTACTAAATGATGCAATTTATTAAAGGAGTTCATCAATTAGACACTCCATTTTCTTGGAACTCGTTTGTCAAAATGAAGCAGTAGCAACAATGCCAACGAGAGAGCACAAACATTAGAGAAGGTGAGCGTGTTTGAGGGAGATAAAAGAAACGACGGAGGAAAGGAGGGAAGACAAAGCTGAAGTTTGCTTTTGGATTAAATTCAGGTTTCAAATATGCATGGTGCCATCAGAGAAGGTAAAGCAGAGAGGGGGAGGGACTGAAGGAGGTGGAAGAGGGGCAAAGGAGCAGCGTTTATTAGAGCTGTAAATTCAAGGCTGCTGAGGGACGGCTTTTACTGCCCTCCTGAGGAGCAAGCAGTCATGAACTCAGAATGCAAAAACAGGCATTAACACACAAAGCACACAGACTCCTTTACAACGGAATCACGTTGACTTCAAATTATTTTCTGAAAACAAAAAACTATATACATTCCTGCTTTTTTTTTTTTCACTCAAAAGTCATTTTAATGTTAAAATATAGGCTCTAAAGAACGGTCCCCAGAACCAAGATTTGGTTTCGTCTGCTAAAACCTAAAAAGAAATCTCATTAACTCAAAAAAAATTGGATTTGAAAAGATAAGCAATCACACAGTTTCAAGATAAAGTGAATACTTAGAAGTAGTCAGTATCTTTCCTGCTTTAGATACTAATCAACATGATCCCAGTTTGAACAATCAGCGAAAAGTTTTAGAGCAAGTACAAAAATAATCTAAACATTCTTCATTAAAAACAACTCAAACCTCAAATAATTCATTATTTGAGCTAACACAAACATCCCATTTGAATCAAACAGCTTATACAAATAGCTTATAATACTAATAATAATTAATTAAATAATTATTTAATATACAGGTCCTTCTCAAAAAATTAGCATATTGTGATAAAGGTCATTATTTTCCATAATGTAATGATAAAAATGAAACTTTCATATATTTCAGATTCATTGCACACCAACTGAAATATTTCAGGTCTTTAATCGTTTTAATACTGATGATTATGGCACACAGCTCATGAAAACCCTAAATGCCTGTCCCAAAAAATTAGCAAATCACGAAAATGTTCTCTAAACAAGCTATTAACCTAACCATCTGAATCAACGACGTAACTCTAAAAACCTGCAAAAGATTCCTGAGGCTTTTAAAAACTCCCAGCCTTGTTCATTACTCAGCTTGGGGGACCTGCGGAAGCAGTGGACTGAGTCTGGAGTAGAAACATCCAGAGCCACCGTGCACAGGCGTGTGCAGGAAATGGGCTACAGGTGCCGCATTCCCCAGGTCAAGCCACTTTTGAACCAGAAACAGCGGCAGAAGCGTCTGACCTGGGCTACAGAGAAGCAGCACTGGACTGTTGCTCAGTGGTCCAAAGTACTTTTTTCGGATGAAAGCAAATTTTGCATGTCATTCGGAAATCAAGGTGCCAGAGTCTGGAGGAAGACTGGGGAGAAGGAAATGCCAAAATGCCAGAAGTCCAGTGTGAAGCACCCACAGTCAGTGATGGTCTGGGGTGCCATGTCAGCTGCTGGTGTTGGTCCACTGTGTTTTATCAAGGGCAGGGTCAATGCAGCTAGCTATCAGGAGATTTTGGAGCACTTCATGCTTCCATCTGCTGAAAAGCTTTATGGAGATGAAGATTTCATTTTTCAGCACGACCTGGCACCTGCTCACAGTGCCAAAACCACTGGTAAATGGTTTACTGACCACGGTATTACTGTGCTCAATTGGCCTGCCAACTCTCCTGACCTGAACCCCATAGAGAACCTGTGGGATATTGTGAAGAGAAAGTTGAGAGACGCAAGACCCAACACTCTGGATGAGCTTAAGGCCGCTATCGAAGCATCCTGGGCCTCCATAACACCTCAGCAGTGCCACAGGCTGATTGCCTCCATGCCACGCCGCATTGAAGCAGTCATTCATGCAAAAGGATTCCCGACCAAGTATTGAGTGCATAACTGAACATGATTATTTGAAGGTTGGTGTTTTTTGTATTAAAAACACTTGTCTTTCATTGGTGGGATGAAATATGCTAATTTTTTGGGACAGGCATTTCGGGTTTTCATGAGCTGTATGCCATAATCATCAGTATTAAAACAATTAAAGACCTGAAATATTTCAGTTGGTGTGCAATGAATCTGAAATATATGAAAGTTTCATTTTTATCATTACATTATGGAAAATAATGACCTTTATCACAATATGCTATTTTTTTTAGAAGGACCTGTATCTGGCTGGTCAGGTAGATCTCACTGTATCCTGCATTTCAGAACTTCTCTTGTTTGGCATATATCTATGAAAGCAGTGGCTTTTATAAATTAACATTTAGACAACGCTGTATTTGAAGTGCTTATTTTTCAGGATTATAACCAACTAATGGGTAATAAAAATGTTTGACATGTTTTGAGTATATCAATTCTGAACAGTTGTATTGGATCAAACTGGGATAATTATGAGCCACAGCTTATCAGTGGCTGGATACACAATACAGGTCAAAGATTTGTATAAAGTGTATAATTTTTATTGTTTGTAAGACCAAAATACCTTAACAAGACAGATTATCAGATATCAAACATGACATTTGTTCAAATTCAAATTTCAAACATTTGTTTCAAATACAAAAGGTGAAAGGCAACTGAAATGGAGACAATTTTGAGTTTTTAAGGCCATAAAATAGCTTAGCTCAAAGAAGGACTTGGATTTTATTGGTTGGTATTTTATCTTGAAGAGTATTGTGAGTAAAAAAAATCCTGTTTTCTCATTT